ACACAAACATACACACACACGCGCTGCCTGCAAACATGCCAGCATGAATGTTAAAAGAGCTGGAAATTTAATCTACCCTTGTCCCTCCATCAGAACCTTAGATTCCAGGTTTTGGCCATTGCTTTGTGGACTGTTTACTTCACCATTTAAGCTACCATTTGCATTCCTTTGAGAACCTGCAGGAAGGAGAACAGAAACACATTTTACATAAAGCAAACTATTAGATTTTACAGAAATTATTAATGGTTCCAAAAATATTTAATTTCTTCATCTCAAATAGTTAAAAGTAAAGACAAATAATTAACAGGGATTCTGAGCAAACTTTCAGTGTCACCCAGTTTAAACAATCATGAAGCTACTAACACTTATATTTACAATTTAAGCTAAAACAGTTATAACAACACAAATCATACTCAACTCTACTGCCAAATAAAGTCTCTAAAGACTTCAGTGTTACAGTGACAAACAGTCAGAGCAGTTTTGTTATACCAATATAACAAAATGAATCTAAGTTGTACTTTACAGCATTTAGCTAGCGCTACAGAACAGGAGTGAGCATAAAGGGATGTTTTGTTTTGTTTTTTAAGTCTTACTTGACTACATTTCAGAGCCTGCACGTTTTCGCTTTTGCTTTATTGATCCAACCTCCTTTTTTTTCCTGTTAACTTTTGAATCCACTAACAACAATATTTTTCATTGCATAGCTCTTGAACAAAACAGAAGTACCATTTCTAGCTACAGTACTTCAGAGAGGTGGAACCTGTGTGTGAGGAAGGGTAGAAATGATTTGCTTCCAGTTTGATGGACGTGGTAAACAAGACGTGTCTCATGTGTATGTGACAAAAACCATGTTCTCTGCAGGGAAAAAATAGAAGTACAGATACTTGCTTTAAAAAATACTCCAGTATATGTTGAAGTACTGAATCTAATTTATTACCCAAGTAAAAGTGAAGTACCTCTGGTCATAATTATCTTGATATGACATATTTATCTGTTGTCAAATCTAAAACAGACTTACATTGTTATACTTTCCTGGATTTAATGTCGGGACTAAATCTAGTTTACACTAAGCATTAAAATACAAAAACCTTCTTCAGGCTTTAACAGTTGTTTGCATCTGCTGAAGTTGCAATACTGCATTTTCAACTACTGTCTTCTCTGGCCTATGACCCCCCATTGTTTAATCATGAACATGACAAAAATATCTTAGACTAAGATATTATCTTAGATGCTCTTCTGCACACTTTGGTTGTAACAATAGGTTATTTTACTTCTTGTTGCCTTCCTAGCAGAGAAAGTTGCATAAATATTTTTTCTTCCTCATTCCGATGCTAGCTGTGAAATTCAGCAGGTTGTCTTGACCATGCACATGCTTGACTGCATTGAGTTGTATGTAGTGTGATTGGTTGAAATTTGCATTAACACGTAGTTGAGGTGTACCTAATAAAGTGGCCAGCAAGTGCACACTTTGTGTGAGGTTCAACAGATTTTTTTAAAATTCAAAACTGTTCAGTAAAAATGTAAAAACTGTAATTTTGCCTGCCTCCAGGTTTGACGCTATAATATTTTAAAAAATTAAACAGCTGTCTGTGCAGTGAGTTGAAAGTGAATGATTCATCTATAGCAGGAGTGTGGAGTAAGTACCACAGGATGGCGCACTTTAACTGTGTATGGTAAGGTCATGGATTGTAGTGATTCAGACAGCAGAAAACTAAAAGGTAAATGGACTGATTCTTCTATGGGACCTTTCTACTCTCAAACGCAACACAAGCACTGTCTTCTATGCTGCTAAGTGCCTACTAACTACCATTTACACTCTGATGGATGCTAATTGATGCATCGGAGAGCAACTTGGGTTCATATCTTGCTCATATATCTGGCGTGCAGACTGGGGGGAACCACCAACCTGCTCTACCTCCTGAGCCACAGCCGCCCCAGCAGTGAAAGTTCCTCCAGTGTTTACTGTTATCTCAACTGTCGGTCACGAAACGGACTCACACTATTTTGTGGTAAAACAACAAACAAACTACTAATTAAACTGAACTGATTAAAGATGGGCAGCTACTCTAAACCAAAACTAGCCTCAAAGTTACATCAGTTTCAGAAAAAACATTTTTCTCTCACAAAGAAAATAAAAGAAATTATTGGCCTGTCTGGAGGCCTTACACCACTTAAAGATGTCTTTCTTTTCCTTGAGTTTAAACTCCAAATTCAGTGAAGATGTCTTTACAGCTGATCAAACTGCTGGGAGTATTGTGCCAAAGATGGTTAATTTTAGTTCTTAACCAGCTCCACATCAGCCTGATTTTGTCATTTTTAAAATGTAAAAATAATACTGTTACTTTTTTAAATCTTTCTATTAAATTCGTGTCATCCTTTTGTTTCTGCGATGTTCCACATTTGATGTTGACGTTATTTTTGTTGTTACCCAGCAGTTTGTAATAAAGGTCGTTCAGTGTGACGGGAGATTAAATTTAACATCCATCACTTTTTCTGTTTCTCTCTGTGATGATGGCAGATTAACAACAGTTAAAATGTTCCTCTAAGGATTTCCTCACTTTGCTGTACAACGCGCTGTTTGTTTTCTTTTACTTTTGCTGCTTCACGCAGCATCACAGCTCAGTGCTCCATCTACAGGTGCATCCACAAGAAGCTGAAGGTGAAGATGTTGGAGAGCAAACATGTAATGATGGACAGTGCAATTTGAAGATAATATGGTTTCACTAATAAACATTACTTCTGCACAAAACAAACGTACAACACAGAGCAATTATTTAGAAAAGTATCTTTATTGAAAAAGGTGCAAAGATCCACATTCTATTTACGAAAATATACAAGAAATGTGGTTTAGAAAAAAAAACATTTTAAAAAATAAACTTGTCACAATCATATATGAGCGACTGTTTAGGCACCAATTCATTTTTCAGTAAAATGACAAAAACTGTCATTATGAATTCTTTTACATGTTACTATGATGCTGTTATGACAGCTTTCAAACACTGAAAAGATTAAAAATAGAATAAAATTTGAGAATGAAATTAAAGCTTATAAACTTAAAAAACAAACTGATATATTTTCATTCGTAAAAGACATCGAAGCCTGGACAGCCCCTTTAAAATTATTTACTGTACAACATGACATAATATTTCAATGTAATACACAATGACATAATTTACATGACACACACACACAATGTCATGAGCAGAAACACAAAAAGTGCAATGTAAAAAAACCAAACATTTTAAAACTTAAATAGTACAGCTCTGTACAAAATAGCATGTAATTACTCTATTTTTTGGGACCATAAGGAGAACTGGATTATAAGGCACATTAAGCAAAACAAAACAGATGAGTCAAACTTCACTGAACTCATTCTTGTTTCCTCCACGTCTGTACCATTGATTCATTAATGCTGAATTCTCTCGCAGCTGCTCTATTCCCATGTTCTACTGCGTGACTGACAGCCTGGAGTTTGAAATCCTCTTTGTAACCATGTCTCTTAGCGGGTGCAAATTTAGGGTCCTTATACACACACAATACGGTAATATTATGTTGAAGAAAAGTCCGTATTACTCCGTGAGGCTCCTGACTATGGTAGCCGGTGCAGCTTCGTAGCTTACCAAAGTCGTACTAAAACATTTTGACAGATTGCTGAGCGCCGTGTACCAGATGAAATCTGTTTGAGGTCAGTAAGCACAACAAGTACATGAGGCGCACTGTCAATTTTTGAGAAAATTCGAGGATTTTAAGTGCACCTTATAGTCCGAAAAATACGGTACTAGGGATTTGTGCTTCAGCAGGAAATCTATGTTGTATACCCTCTGAATCCAACCAACCCATGGCATAAACTGACAATCACATCCCTTTGTGGGGTTGTGATTGTGACTGGCCTGTTCAGCACTTTGAATTCCTCCAGCTACTTTTAATGTTCTGCGAGAGAACAACAATCATTACCCTGTCAATGTGAGGAATAAAATAATTAATAGAATTAATTTAAGGCCTCACAAATATCAGCAAACTGTAGGAGGCTGATTGCTGAAAATATTGGAATGGATGTGAGGGAATGCACCACATACAAAACAAAGGGACATGAACACACGGTAATTATATATGTATACATGCCAAAAATTAGAAAGATTTCCTGCATAAGTCTAAATCAAACTAGTCAAATGAAATTAGGCTTAAAAGTATCAACATTATCAATGTTCCCTTTGCAGTCCTCCAAAAGCATCGCATAAAACAAGACCCTACTTCAGGCAGTGCATAAAAAATAGTGGCAATTCATGATTTGTAACTAAATCCTTACTTTCATATTCTTTTTTTTTTTTTTTTTAAAAACAAAATGCATAGAGAACAAAGGAGGATTAGTTTACTAAATATTGCCCTTTAAAAAGGATTGAGCCTCTGGCTTTTTATTCCAGTTGACACTGAGAAGCAATCTGGAAACCTTGAATCTGCTACACTAATATTGCCATCGTTTGTTGTTCAGGTCTCAGAGCATTTTTAGTGATATCAGCTGCTGTCATCACCACTAAAAATATTAATGAGAGACAACTTTGTCTCAAAGTAAACTCAGGCAGCTAATCAATAATCACCACAGTGTTTACTTCATTGATCAATAATTTTCATCATAATTCTTGTCAGCAAGCTTCTTTTTCCAGACATAAAAAAGAAGCACTGGAATTCTTTCAATTCATCAATTGGTTCAGGAATTGCAGATATTTTTAAAAAATTTCTGATGCCAGCAGCAGGTTAGACTTCAGAGGGTGAACTGTGCTGGACGTTTGATCTAAGACAGTTTCATCAGATTGTTTTAGGGGTTTTACTTGAATCAATGGTAAAGTGGCAACAATGTAACAAGCTAATCCACCCACTTTTTTAAATTAATGGTGTTATTAATTGTTGAACCCATTCACTCACTCACTCACACACACACACACACACACACACACACACACACACACACACACACACACACACACACACACACACCTGTGCACCTTCATCTTTGTACACAGTGCTTTCTAACTAACTGGCACATACACACGGAGAATCTGTGTTTCAGTAGTTTGCCCATGAACAGTGTGAAGTAGCTGGGGATCAAACCACTGAACCGTTCCTTAGAACTCGTAATTCTTCTGGGCCTGTCTCAGAACCTGGTGCTGTTGTCTCCTCTGAGGAACTGTTTGCATTCCTAAGGCAGCCTGAAAACACATTTTCATGAAGTTAACTTTTAGAAATCTTACAGAAATTATTTGCTATTCCAAAAACATTTTAATCTCATTCTAATTCAACACACACAGACAGAAACTGACTCAAAGTCTGTATCCGGGTTTAAGTGGGTCAGCAATTTATTTGCCAGGAATCAAAGAAAACCTGCAGCTAAACCTATAAAATTAAAACGTTATTGAAGCAGAATAAATACAAAAAGAGCAGAAAGCATCACTCTAAAATCAGATTATATTACATAAAAAAACCCCATAAAACATTGGGCTGGTTATTTGCTTTTGAGAGTTTGGGGGATTACACACAAATCAGAAAGAACAGGCCTTCTGCTAAATTGTCTCCCATTTGCAGAAACATTTTAACGAGCGCTATTGAATTTTAGCTGCATGAATTACACATAGATAAACACACACACATATATATGTATATATATCTCCATAGAGGCTGGGGTTGAGCACACCAGGCAAGACCCCAGGTGCAGGCTGTGTAAAGATGCCCCAGAGACAATCCAGCACATAACAGCAGGGTGCAAGATGCTAGCAGGCAAGGCATACATGGAACGCCATAACCAGGTGGCCGGCATAGTGTACAGGAACATCTGTGCCGAATATGGCCTGGAAGTGCTGAGGTCAAAATGGGAGATGCCCCCAAGGGTGGTGGAGAATGACCGAGCTAAGATCCCGTGGGACTTCAGGATGCAGACGGACAAAATGGTGGTGGACAAACAGAAGAAGACGGCCGTAGTGATCGATGTAGTGATAGCATATGACAGCTACATCAGGAAGAGCTCGAGAAGATGTGGAGGGTGAAAGTAACAGTGGCCCAGTGGTAATCGGAGCACTAGGTGAGTGGCTTCAGCAGATTCCAGGAACAAAATCCGAGATCTCCAGAAGAGCGCAGCCCTAGGAACAGTTAAGATACTGCGCAGCTTGAAGGATAAACACCGCCTGCAGGGGCTAGAGAGGAATTTTTGTTATTTCTCACTCTCTCTCGGGTGGGGGTGAGGATATCTTCCCCCTGAACTGACGTCCTGGCTCCCCCTTGCCATAGCATTTGTGTTGTACCTCATCAATCTCTAGCCATTAGAGCAGTTCCTTATTCTGAATGTTGGAACACTGAGCTACTAGTTGTTTTGCTGGCAATCTGGATGCTGGGTATCGAAGATTCCATAGGTCCCTCATCCTATTCATGTAACCCCTTCCACCAGGATTACTTGCGTAGTAGCATTCCAGTAGTGCCCTATTTTCATCTCTTGCCCACTGATGATTTCTTGTTCCAGTAGCCCACTTCTCATCAGGGTGCCCTGGCTCCTCAACACCTGATGCAGATCTTGTTAATCAGGGTGATGTCCAAGGCGCTATGGCTTCATGTTTATGTCTCTCGCTCATGTCTGAGATTGGCTTGGTTAACATGGTGGGTATAGCCTAGCACCCTTACTGAATACAGACACCCCAGTCAGGAGTCAAACCTACGATTCCCATTCCAAAGGCGCCTAGTCTTACCACTATCCATTTGCTATCCAGCTGGATATATAGCCAAAGCATAATTTTTTTCATGCATTTCTATGCATTTTAGTATAACATCAGAAAAAAAAGGCATAATGAAATGACTTCTAATATGTGAACAATGACAAAAACATAGTATTATACAATAATACAGACCTTCCCAAAGTGTGGGGCCCAATGAAGCATAGCTGAATATGTTTCCAAACCAACTTCATTCTAACCCAACATTTTTCTTGTAAAACAAAGGGGGAGCTAGCAAAAAAAGTTTGGGAACCACTGCAATAATACAATATTAATGTTACAAATCATTAATATATTTAACATGTTGGTCGCTATACACAGCATATTATTAAATAAGTACTTTAACTTACCTCTATTAAAGTGTATTGAGATGGTCTTTGTAGTCACAAGCACAGCCAGAACGAAAGCAAAACTTAGGATTCCAATGAAACATCCACCCAGCCATCCAGTGATAACTTGTCCAGATTTGCTTTTGAACAGGTTTTCTGAAATTGCTGAAAATGTATGCAAATCATAAGTAATTGATTAAACCTCAACAGAAAATCAAAAAAATGCTCAATAGTCCTAAAAGCTTTGAAACTTTAAATCCAATGAACACAACCAACTCTGAGGAGATTCTCACCTGACAAATTGATCTCTTGATCAATCACTTGGTACGAGCCCTCCTGTTTAACTACACAGTGGAAGCAGTTGGTTTTGGTCGGGGTCACAGTAGTGCAGAGGGTGACGTTGTAGCGGCCTCCTCTTTCTGAGATCACTGGGTCCTCTGCAGAAAGAACATTTCCATCGCTGTCCTTCCACTGTAGCTTCGGCTTGGGATGAACACCTCCAACATCACACTTCAGCTGCACCCCGGATTCAGTAGCACCAAGTATGGTTATGTGTGGCTTTGGAGCCTCAGCTGTAACACAAGATTAAGAAAAAGTTCAAAAAACAGTTACAACAGTATACGTTAAAGGAAACACGTACTAAATTTCTGTATTTTCTGTCATAGAGACTGTCCAGCGCAAAAAACACACAAACAAAAAAAGATCCCAAACAAACAGTTTCACACACTAATATTTTGTTAAAGTGCCTTTAGCTTTGACTTAGCATTGAAACATAGCATTATTTCAAAGAGCATGTACAGCATGCCAGGTAAATCCCTGTGCTGAGCACAACAATAAGACATTTCTTGTAGTTTGTCATCAAGTTTGCACACATCTCAGGAGGTATTTTGGCCCACTCCTTTCTACTGGAACTCTAAATCCTTCAGGTTTCTTTACAGTCACGTACTGTAGCATCTCCATGCTTGAGCTCCCTCCTCAGATTATCTAAAGAATTGATATCTGAAGTCTGGCCAGGCCACTCTGCAATCTTTATTTTCCTTTTCCATAACTACTCCTTTGTTTTTTTGGTGATATGTTTTGGGACATTGTCATGCTAAGAGATCTATCTACTACTCATCTTCAGTGTTCTTCCCAGAGAAGGGAAGTTTGGGGTACCTGGTACCCTCCACTCCACTCAGTGAAGTCATCTTGTACCCTTAGCAAAAAACCAAACCAAACAAAAACAAACAAAAAAAAACCCATAAAAAAGGCTCCATAGATTGATGTTTTCACTGCTTTGTTTGACTGTGGGGATGGTGTTCTTTCGGTCATACTCAGCATTTCTCTTCCTTCAAACACGGCAGAAAAACTAGATTTTGGTTTTATTGCACCTCAACACTTTCTCCCAAACCTTCTCTAAATCATTTAAACAGGCCTGTAGTTGCTAGATTTCAGTCCATTATGGTGTAGTGTGTTACCATTGGTGTTGTTGGTGACTGTGGTTCCAGCTACCTTCAGATCATTAAAAAGCTCCTCCTGTGTAGTTTGGGGGTGATGTACCCCTTTATCATGATCATCTACGCCCCATGAGGCAACACCTTGTATGGAGCTCCAGGCCAAAGGCAAATGATGGTCATTTTATTCAAACTGAAGAAACTGATTCTGTGGACAGGTGTGCTTTAAACACACGAGTCAAGATCATGATCAGAATCTGTGATTGACTGACCGACTGATTGATTGTAATCCGTGTCTCACATGGCAACAGAGCTAGTCTGGAGGAACAAGAATTCTGGTTGGGTTGAATGGGAATAAATATTTTATTCAATGACATGCAGAATCAATTCATGACTTTTACGTAATGATGTACTAACCAAAAATAAAATTCACATTCACACTGAACGTTGTTGTAGCGAACATGAAGGAAAAGCAGGGCTTTAAAAACAGCTGGTTATAAAAGGCTCAACCCACATGTAAAGAATATTTTTATGTATTTAGTATGTGAGAACTCAGGGCTGTGTGTCACAGGGAACGGTTCTGGCTCTTTTCCTCTTCACCATCTACACTGCAGACTTCTTCCACAACTCCACCGGGTGCTTCCTGCAGAAGTTTTCTGATGACTCTGCAATAGCCTCATCACTGATGGGGACGACAGGGAGTACAGAGGACTGACCCAAGAATCTGTGGACTGGTGCCAGCTGAACTACCTCCAGATCAACACTAGAAAAACCAAGGAGCTGGGATGGGTCAGGTGTATCCTTCGTGGCCCAACCTATCCCAGAATTCATAGCGCACCTTCTCCACAATCTTCCTCAGGGTCCGGTCACCTCTTCTCATTGTGCAGCGTTTTCTGCCACTTTTTCCTTCCCACAGACTTCGCACTGAGGTGCCTTGATACAGCACTCTGGGAACAGCCTATTCGTTCAGGAATTTCTTTCTGTGTCTTACCCTCTTCCTTGAGGGTGTCAATGATGGCCTTCTGGACAGCAGTCAGGTCGGCAGTCTTACTCAGTTTTGAGTAATGAACCAGGCTGGGAGTTTTTAAAAGCCTCAGGAATCTTTTGCAGGTGTTTAGAGTCAATTCGTTGATTCAGATGATTAGGTTAATAGCTCGTTTAGAGAACCTTTTCATGATATGCTAATTTTTTGAGAAAGGAATTTTGGGTTTTCATGAGCTGCATGCCAAAATCATCAATATTAAAACACTGAAAGGCTTGAACTACTTCAGTTGTGTGTAATGAATCTAAAATATATGAAAGTCTAATGTTTATCAGTACATTACAGGAAATAACGAACGTTATCACAATATGCTAATTTTTGAGAAGGACCTGTATAAAAGACAAAAGAATAAAGATTTGGAGAACAATACTCTAATTAATTTCTATGGGGTAAAAATGTTGTCCTCGGCAGTTCTAGGTAAAAGCAGTCAATGTGTTTTTTCCTTTTTAATCCCACACACCGCTAAATCAAATATTTGATGAATAAGCCCATTAAGGTTTTAATTTAACAGAGTTACACAATATTTATCAGTTCTCATATTAAAAAGGAGCATCAACTAAATATTTGCTGTGGTTCAGTAAAAGTTCTCCCAAGTAGACAAACCTACAAGATACTTAGAAAGTAGGTTCTTCCAAGCATTTTGTCAGAAACAATGATTACAATTATTTGTTCTGTAAAATACCAAAAAACAAATCTTACCACAGTAAGGGACATAGAGCTTATCCTTAGTCTTATGGCCGATCTCCTCCTGCGTGGCTACACAGTGGAAGATGTTAGTGTTTGTCCTGGTCACCGTGGTGAGGAGGGTGATGTAGTAGTGGTCTCCTTTGTATGACACCTGTGGCTCCTCAGCAGGAAGGATGTTTCCATCGCTGTCCCTCCACTCTACTTTAGGCTTTGGAGAAGCACCTCTGACCTCACACTTCAGCCACGCCTTGTCCTCGCTGATGTTCAGGATCCCAACAAGTGGCTTCAGAACTGCACCTGTGAACAGAATAAGGCTGTGTCAGTAACTCTGTCATTCTTTATCACCTCGCTCAGTGGCTCAGAAAAAATATAAAGAATCAGCACCTGCTTAACACCACAGTACCTAAGTACTACAACAATGAATACTGCAAAGAAATGTTTGTATTTGTTAAGCCAACTTAAAATGTGAATAACAAATGAATATGTCAATGCTCTTTTAATTTAAAACAAACAAACAAACAAAACAGAACTGCGTGATCTCTTCTGAATATAACCTAAAATTATGGTAATTGGTCTTGAGACTGATTTAGTAAACATATGTTAGGAAACGATTTAATCCCAGGACCTCACAAATTACTCAAACAGCAAAACTAACAGCGATGTGGGTTCACAGAGGGCTTCAACAATACATGTACTTTCATCTTTTTTGGGGGGGGTTGGTTGGTTACATGTCCGTCCACCAGGCAAAGTAGTGCCGTATGAATTAGCGCAAAAAGCAAACTAGATTAGCAAGAGCAAGACGAGCATTGCAGGAGCAAAGGAAGCTTTCATTCTCAAATCCTCATTATGGCAGACAAAAGAAATGAAGAAAGTCTGCCAGTGGATTGTGACAGCGTGGAGAAGTGTCAAAACATGCACGATCACCAAAAGATTTTGAAGGGCTGGACTGCAGCGTGATGAAGAGGAGGACACCGCCACAGCCCTTCAGAAGTGTTTGATTCCGACACTGACAACAAGGATTTCTTTGGTTTTGAAAGCGAGAAGCAGAGAGTGGATGACGAAGCCATCCTGAGCCTGTTCATTTCTGACACTGGAGAAGAGGACTTTGGTGGTTTTAGTGCGCAGGAAGAAGAGAAAGATGGTGAATGACTGACTTTTCTTCTTGCCATGTTACTGTTACTGCACCTGAGCCCAAAAGGTAGGCCGGATCTATTTTCTGGTGTGCTGTAGGTTATTGTTATGTATTTATTTGTTACTAGTTTATGAAGTTTATGAAGCACAATACATGTTTCGTACTTGTAATTACCGGTACTTATACGTAAAAAGTTATGCAAACATGTACCGGTAGCTTGTTTTTCAAAATATTAATAAAAGGGATGTGTTCACAAACAGTAATCTCTTTACTGACAATCCCCTTTGTGCATATTCTCTTACATATGGTAATTAAACATTAAAACACCTGCTGCTTTTAGTCAGGTGCGGCTAATGTATGAACAAAACAAGATTTTCCCCTAATTTTAGCTTGTACGGCTAATATTCAGGTGCGTTTTGTAGTCTGGAAAATACGGTAGTTTTAATATTACTCTTTCTGGGTCACAAAATAAACTTTTAAGATATTATCAGGCAAGATTGTAACTTTCTAAATTTCAAATATCTGCTCGATTTATCAAGAAATCACATATTTGCAAAAGTGCTCTGATTTTTTTCGGAGACGGAGCTGACCAGAGAGGTCAAGGTTCACTAAAGCATTGACCACCCGATCACCGGACTCCTGGCACATCGCTTTCAGACCTCCCACAGTCTTCGCTATTCAGGTTAAACATGATATATAAGTGACTTAAATAACTGAAAAATGTTATTGTTTGGCTTTTTTCATTGTTTTATTTGTTCCTGAGTAAATCGGTTTAGCTGAGATTAAGTTATAGTTTTCACACAGCTGAATAAACAGCAAACTGAAAACTGATTAAACAGAAGTGTGAGATGGTCGAGAATCTACTCCAGTGTCCTGTTATATTTTAGGAACAAAGAGCAGATGTCTGAGTTTATTAAACCACCAAGACAATCTGCAAATTTCATTAAAAGTTTAATAAACTATCATCTTGTCCTTACTTTTAATGAGCACATTCCTTCAACACTTCAAGCTGTAAGCTAATGATAGTTACATAAGAGCAGATGCATTCTGATGCAATAAGCTGTACGTTTTATGTCCAATGGATGCATAATCTGATTAGTCGACTAATCGCAAAAATAATCTGTGACTAGCCGACTATCAAAATAATCGTTTGCGGCAGCCTTAGTTAGCTACACAGCATGTACCTGACACCAGTACCTGTACTGCCATGTTCAAATCCACATCACAGTTATACTAATTCTAAGGTGTACAATATATGCTGCTCTCAGGTCGTTATAGTACAGGACAGTCACATGTGCCTTAGCTTAAAGATGACGTGCAAACACCACAACAGAATGATGATATACCACGCATGCCACAAATACTTTCAGTAACAGCCTGTATATATTCACATATTAAAAAAGGCCTGATGCTGTGTCATTCTTGAATGTGACAACAATAGACAGTGATACTGAAGTCAGGTTCAGCACAGATTTCTCCTTATCTGTCATTACTGACAGAATCACAGATCTCAGTAACATCTAAATAATTTGTTTATGGCAATTTTAAACATGTTTGACAGATGCTGAGGTTAACAGATGTGTAGCTACACAACTTACAGCTGTAAACAGCAGCATCACTACTCACCTGGGGTATCTCCAAATCGGTCTGTGATCACATGCTCTGAAAGGCAAATAATAAGCATTTTTTCCACAGTGGATCATTAAGTTATGGTTTTATGTTAAAAAAAAAAAAAAAAAAAAAAAAAAAAAAAATCATCATCTGGTCCTTGTAGGTAACTATAAGTTCAGATGATCACCATGACAATATATTACACCATATCATTTATTCAGCACAAGCTAAACAAAAATGCAGACAGTGTGTAAAAAAAGAAAAGAAAAAAAAGAGTCCACCCTTACTGTTTCCATATGAATTCAGTGAGAACGAGGTGCTGCTAATCCAGTACACTTAATTAACCAATCATCAGCAAATGTGACCTTTATAAAAGCAGATGTTTTGCCAGTTTGCCAGCCTGAAGCATTCAGGTGTGTACTAACACAGTGCCAAAGAGGAAAGACATCAGAAACAACCTTCGGAGGCATCTGTTGCTGCTGACCCTCTAATCAGATTAGTCAATCATTCTAATCTGAGGAAGATTATTCACAAGTAGAAAACATTGAAGAAAGCTGCCAACCTTGCCACCAATGCTCTGTGCAATGCTCAGAGTAACTATAAAAACCTAAAAGCTACATCTCAGACTCTGGATTTAAAGTAAAATTAGATCAAGCATGGAAGGGTTTCTATGAGGGTTTCTTCCCCTTACACACTCTGGTAATGACCCAATTTTCAATTTAAATGGACTAAACAGCAGAGGAATAAAAACACCCTTAAAAGAACATGGCAGCACAGCCTAGGACAAACCCAAAAAAACTTCTGGATCAGTGTCTACTGGATGGACAAGATCAAAGTGGAGATGTTTGTCCATAATGCACAGTGGCACATTTGGAGAAAACCAGACGTGGCATATTAGCACAAACACCTTACACCAACTGTCAGCACATACACATCTTTTTGTGACAGTTTATCCTCACTATCAATGTTACGCTAAATGAATCCAGATAACAGAAACATACCCTGGTTGAACTTGCTTCGTATTACAGCACCTTGCAGTCAATGAGTCGACCACGAACACCTTTGTATACAAATGTTATGAAGTCAAATCTGAAGCCATTTGTCTGACAGCTAAAGCTTGGACATAACTGGGTCATCAAAGGACAGCAGCAACTCTACATCAGAATGACTGCAAAAGAAAAGAATCAAGAACCTGCAATGGTCCAATCAAAGTCCAGACCTCAGCATAACTGAAGTCCTGTTGAGGAGCCTTCAGAAAGATGTGCGTAAGCGAACACCTACAAACTTCAATGAACTAAAGCAACAATGTTAAGAGGAGTGGATCGAAATTACTCCAGAATGATGTGACAGATTCAAAGTCACACAGAAAACAAGCTAAAGTATTGTTGCTAAAGCTTTTTCTAGCTCTAGTCAATAATAGCGTGATTTAGATTTTATACATACAGTTTCTGCATTTTGGCTTCATTTTTATTAAATAAATAATGACATGGTGTAATATGTCCTGGGCTTTTGTTCATCTGAGGTTGTATATACCTGCTAAGGACCTGACAATTTTGTCAAGTCCTGAAAACCTTAGAACTTCAAGAGGAAAACCTTTTTTTCAGGTGATGTTGATCCACTGTGAAAAAAATGCCATTTATTTGTGCTTTTCAGAATGTGTCTCTAAGGACACATCAGGAGAAATCTGTTTACTGCACCTCAAGCAAACTGCCAAAACATCAGCTTTTACAGCGGTGCTCACACTTGCTGCTGAACATTGGATGAATTTATATGAAACCGTGTAGTCCATCCTGTGTTTTTGTTCATCTAAGCTTGCATATACCTGCTAAGGAGACGGTTCTTTTTTTATGTCCTGATATGTAAAACTTCAAATAAGGAGTGAAATTTTATTTTATTTTTTTTAAATGACTGTACAACTGAGTGGCAAAAACAACATCAACATTTAAAGAACAATTTAAAAAAATCTGAGTTCTTAAAGAAGGGTTTTTCAGGATGCTTCAAAACTAAAATACTCACCAACAACAAGTTTAATGTTGAATGTTTGTTCTGGCTGCAGATGTGGAAAACCACAGGTGTAGTTTCCACTGTCAGCCACCGTGGTGTTTCTGATGATGATGGAGGCGTTACCAAACTGCAGCTCTTGTGAAAAATATGAGACCCGTCCTCTGAAGTGCTCGTCTTGACCTGGAAGGCCGTTACTGTAATGAAGGCCTCCGTCATACATGAACACCTCCTGTTTATTTGGATCAACTTTCCTCCAGTCAAACAGCTTTTGTACAATGTTCTCCTTGGTGCTGAACGAGCAAGGCAGGATGGCGTCACTTCCTTCTGGTGCAAACACTTTGATTCCTGAACCAGGAGGACAAAACATATTTTAATCATGATGGGGAACAAATGGGAATGGCAGGCAATGGGGTTTCATTGCTCTGAAACAACAAGTTACATGTATGTTAGTCAGCAGCCAGGCTACTGTTTATTATATTTTAGAACAAATATGATAAAATACATTTATGCAAATTTTATACAAGAAAGTTCTCCACCAAGGTCAAAATAGAATTACTGACTTTGCACTCCTGAATAGTGGTCTGAAAAGTGTTTCGTAAAAAGTTTACAGTGTAGACGATTTCAGAATTATGAGGTATACAAAAAGTACCGTAATACTACTGTTTTGGATCACTCTCTCTTTTCTGATCTCACTACGGCCAAAGTCGCTTTCAGCTGTACATGCAACCTGTTGCATTTGTTAAGGTGGTTAGTTATGCTGTTAAGTTACAACAAAAGTAAGGAGGGTTAGAAAGAACTCCTCGCTTTAAAATATTTTTTAGCCAGCTTAGAAGCTACACCACACAGAATATGCCTGAATGAGATAAAGACAGGTGTGAACAGTGAAGCAGCAAGGAGCAAAGGTGGTGAAAATACAGTTTAAAGACTTTGGGTCAACCACCCAAATGCAACTGACAGTGCAGGCGGCTTTTTATCTTAATTAATAGGGCTGTTTGATATAACGATATATATCGGATGACGATATAAAATGTCTATCGTTTCCTATTACGCTATCGTTTGTTTTGTGGTGTTGTAAAATAAACTTCAAAAAGTTGATTCTGTTCATCTGGATGTAGCGTTTTGTGGGAGAAACGTTTTGTCACTCATCCAAGTGACTTCTTCAGTCTCAGCTGACTGCAGGTTTCAATCTTATAAACAATATATTTGCATAATGACTGAAACCAGCCCACTGAAGGAACAATGGGCTGAGAGGTCAGTTCCTTCATTATGATTATGCAAATTCTCATGACCATTGATCAACAACCACTGAAAGACCACTGATCAAAGGCCATGAGTCCCATTCAGAGAGTTGGGGAATGGCTGCAATCACAGCATTGCAAGATGGTGACAGATGTACCCTTAGGCCTCCTCCTCGATTCAGAGATGGTCGTTCCCTTTTCACGTAAATGACCTCCTTGACTCCGCCCTCAAACCAGCGTTTCCTCCCTGTCCAGGATGTGAACATCCTCATCATTGAAAGAGTGTCCACTGGCCTGTAGGTGTAAACAGACTACAGAGTCCTGGCCTGATGAAGTAGCTCTTCTGTGTTGTGCCATCCGCTTCGCCAGAGGTTGTTTGGTTTCCCCGATGTATAAATCCTGGCAATCCTCCTGCACTTAACAGCGTACACTATGTTACTCTGTTTGTGTCAGGGGACCCGATCCTTGGGATGGACTAATTTTTGGTCTTTAAAAGCTTTTGGGTGTAAAAACCACAGATACCCGGTGTTTAGAAAAAAATGTGTCTCAACTGCTCTGATACTCCTGACACATATGGGATCACTACAGGTTTTCTCTTAGGCAGCGGTTGTCCTTCTCTCCTGGATCGGCTGGAGCTTTCTTTAGGTGCCTCCCCAGCTTTGACAAAAATCCAGCTGGGATAACCACATTTACTCAGGGCCTTCTTGATGTGCTTTTCTTTTGCCTCCCTGGTTGCTCTGTCTGTGCGGATGGTGTTTGCTCTGTGTTGTAGCGTCCTAATGACACCCAATTTATGCTCCAGTAGATGATGAGAGTCAAACCTTAGATACTGATCCGTATGTGTAGGTTTACGGTACATGTCAGCTTTTAGATGTCCCCCATTACTGATGGAAATCTCACAGTCTAAGAAGGCTAACCTGCCACTTTTCATATCCTCCCTGGTGAATTTGATGTGTGGGTCCACCGAGTTAATGTGATCCATGAAATGTAATACATCCTGAGATTTGATTTTCACCCAGGCGTCATCCACATATCTGAACCAATAGCTTGGTGGTGTTCCAGGATAGGATAGCGAAACCCTCTTTTTCACTTCTTCCATGTACAAATTGGCCACGATGGGTGAAACTGGGAAGCCCATGGCACACCCATGTTTCTGCCTGTAGAACTGACCCTTGTATGTGAAGTAGGTGCAATGAAGACACAGTTCCAAAAGCAAACACACTTGGTCAATGCTGAGAGTGGTCCTGTTGCTGAGGTTGCTGAAAACGCTGCGTCCAGATGAACAGAATCAACTTTTGGAGATTTACTTTCCTGGATGATTGAGAATGCATCAAGACGTAAAATAAACTGTTTACAGCAATATTTTTTCACCGTTTTGATGGTCACTGTAGTGGCTATAATAATTTCTTAAAGTTCTCTCTTTCTCTTATATTTAATATAACCACACTATGGACGGACAAGCGCCTGTTTTTACGTGTTGTCGTTAGCAGCAATGACAGTAAAACCATCGTGTGGCTTCGCTGTCCGTTTTTATGTTTTCCACGTAAACCTTTCACAATAAAGATCTTGTTGAGACTTTTCAAAATAAACTGAATCACGGGAAAGAGAGTTTACGGATGAGAAGCAAAAAAGAGCCGTCAGGTGCTAAAAAATAAACCCTAGACTCAAACTTTGAAAGAAAACGGCGGCCGTTACAGCTTATGTCTAAAAATGTATAGTTTCATGCATCGGTTAAAACACTCGACTCCAGGTACACGACGCCCAGCAGGGAACACTAAACGCAACTTGAGTTGCCCGAGATTCACAGAATTTACAGAAAATGTTACATTTTTGTGATTTATATCGTTGTCAGGACGATAAATGTCTTATATCGGGATGAGATCTTGGTCATATCGCACAGCCCTATTAGTTAACTTTCTTAATTAACTAAAACTGGATGATGATGACGGCGTTTAGCGAGGAGTTATAAAGATAACTTAAAACATTTTAAGCAAGATGTGTCCTTTAATTTAGGGTTGAGTTTTTAGTGATACAATAACTATCAGTAAGCCACTTAAGTCAGTTATTTAAAAATGTAAAGTTTAAAATTAGACAGATATATTTGCACAAGTAGTAAAACATAAAAGCGTGTAGTATCTGATAGCTAAAAGCTAAGTTAGCTAAGTAGTTTGCATGCTGGGTCTGACTACGAACTTATATCTGCAAACCAAAAAATAACATCAGCATCCTTACCTTCAGCTAATGAATATAGTATCGGAAAGGCGAGAAACCACAAAAGCTGTGATGCTGACAACATTTTTAAAAGACTCTGTGTCCTACAGTTCTGTTAACGTTAGCGCTAATGGCAACAGAACTTATCCTCCGCCTTAGCTATAAGGCCAAATATAAGTCAAAATTACTGTGGATGATTTTGGAACACCCCAAAACAATCCCAATAAAGAAAAATTTAGTAGACTACAACTTAAAAGAATTTCTAAAGCTGTAGTTCGTTAATGGCACCAAAACAACCCGGAGTTTGACGATTTCCGTCCTTCCGTTCACCATTCAGTTGTTGGCAAACTGAATGGTGCATTACCGCCACCAACTGGTATGGAGTATGAACTGGAACGTCGCTCATAAAAACAAACGAACAAACAAAAACCCCTCAAAACTTTCCAAAGCACGTAAAGAAAAGATGTTCCTGAGTTTTGATATTTTTGGACAAAAAGTGCAAACGTTCTTTTTCAACCTAAACGTCAACTCAATTTTTCAGCATACAGATAAATATAATTTATTGTCTTAAAATGAACTTCTGTCATTGGGGTATAAAGGAAATGAACCGACAGATAACTCACTGGATCGAACTTTCTACTCTTCAAAATATTTCTAGCAATTTTTTAAACTAAGTGAAAAACCAATGATAAGATTTTGTTATAACAGTTAATATCCATGAAGTTGTAATCATCAGATTCTCTGCTTTAGCACTGAAAAGTGTTTGAACATTGGAATTTTTACTTTCGTAACTGAAATCAGAATTAGCAGGTCACTGCTTTTATGATAACTGCTGTGTTTTATGCCTATTTAGTAAATATGACGACAACACGTTAGGAGAGTTTAATCTCTTTAACTCTGAGAATATTTAACAAGTATTTAATTTTTAAGGTGAGTCACGTGGTAATGGCTCATTTAGTGTGCTAATTTTTTTACACTGTAATGAAATAAACGTTTCCTTACGAATCACTATTAACCGGATATTTTGATCAAATCTTCTTAATGGTCAAATCTTAATAAGTGATTAATAAACCTCCTTACCAGCATGCTGTCCTCATTATAGTCGATGATCTCCAGTCACAGTGCAGATCTTTGATCCATTTTATGTTCCAACCTTTAACTAAAACTTTTAGTTTTCTTTCAATATCTGTCACAAACATCTAACCGCGTTTTTTTTCCGCAGATCGGTGCCTGCCGTTTGAATTCTTCTTCTAGTATGGTAAATAAATCAACTTCCTGCATTGGCGCCACCTATGGAACCTCACTGGAAACAGTGTGGTGGTGGTGGTGGTGGTGGTGGTGGTGGTGGGGGGGGGGGGGGGGGGGGGTGTACAATTCTACTTTTTAACTATTTGTTATGCTTGTTGTGGTTAACTTCATTGTAATTATTTTAACAAAGAATTTTTAAACTTTAGACAAATAAATGTATCATAGTATCATTATATAAAAAGCCACCCTGCAGTATATAAGTAACTGAAATTCTGAAATTCCGAGCTGCAACAATAATATCAAATAAGATGATGTGTATGTTTATACAGGCTCAGAGGTCAGAGGGCCCGGTGGCGCCAGTGTCCGGCAGCCTCGCCTCTGTCAGTGCGCCCCAGGGCGGCTGTGGCTACAATGTAGCTGCCATCACCAGTGTGTGAATGTGTGGATGATTGAATGTGTAAAGCGCTTTGGGGTCCTCAGGGACTAGTAAAGCGCTATATAAATACAGGCCATTTACCATGTATGTAAATGTCTACCATTTGCAGCAGAATCCTAATTCTTTTACTGATTTATTTTACACTTTGCTTTTGCTCCTTGACTTTAGGAATGTTCATCACAAGTTGCCAAATATTTGGCAAAAATCTGTTATTATGACCCAGGCCATAATTATTTTTACTTTCATTTTATTTTTTATTGCTATCACTCCTCCTTGTCTCATGATGGTGTGTCTCATTTTACTTTCTGTCTTTTTAAATATGTAAGCTCTGGGTTACAGATAGCCATTGGTTGTAGACTGAGACAGACAACACCAGCTGGGGTCTGCTTATTTCTTGATTCCATAAAAAGCCATGTAAACCAGAAAAAACATTTCTGTCATTAGATAGACGCTACCATCAGTTTTTGGCAAAACAACTTTCTATCCTTTATTTAGGAATGTAAAACTCTCATTGACATTAAAGATGTCTTTTTCTAGAGAGATCAAGAGGGAAACAGAAATGACAACAAATATAACATAAGTTATATAAAGATATTTTAAGTGGGCAAAAAGGACTGGATTCGTTTTAATGTAGACCACAGAGTATGGGGAATAAAGCTGAGTTATAAAGATAGTTGTAAAACACAGAATTTCTTTACGTTATTTACAGTGGCTTGCAAAAGTATTCGGCCCCCTTGAACTTTTCCACATTTTGTCACATTACAGCCACAAACATGAATCAGTTTTATTGGAATCCCAGGTGAAAGACCAACACAAAGTGGTGCACACGTGAGAAGTGGAACAAAAATCATACATGATTCCAAACATTTTTTACAAATAAATAACTGAAAAGTGGGGTGTGCGTAACTGTGGAACTGAAATTGAATTGTGAAAAGTGAATCTGAAATTATTCAAGAGCTAAACTTTTAAAAGATAAAATACAGTTTCAAAGTAAATGAATTCATTTTCAAAATATAAAATTCAATTTCAATTTAGTGATGGTCATTTTCAAACCAATAAATTGAATTTCAAATTAGGCTAATTTATATTCAGTTTTTAAAAGCATTTATTCAAGTTACAATTCAGATTCAATCCGGGCAATTCAAATTCGAATTTAACTTATTCAAATTCAGTTTCTGATGGCACAGATTTCTGCCCATAGTTAACACTATTGGAAGTAAAAATAACTTGAACTCCAATTTCTTTTTTTTTTTGCCTGTCCCATTTGGTTCTTTAGCCGTCAGAATTGTTGTCTGAAGACCAACAAGGATACCCAATGGATTTATTTTGCCAAATGGATCATCGTGGCATTGCCGTATTGGTCCATTTGATCGACCTTTGTTTTTATTATTTATTATATTTTATTTTCAGATGTTACAGACGGGATAGGAAAGGGAGAGAGAAAGAGGAAGGAAAAGAAAAACAGAAGGGGAGAGGGACAGTGAGAAAGGGGGGGAGAAAAAATCTCCTGGATCACCTGTTGAGAGAAAAAAAGAGAAAACAAGCAAAAAAAACAGAGCAACATACTAAACACAACACCATAATCTAGCTAAGTGTAAACAGCAGTAAACACGAAATATTGAATGTTGTTGTGCAGCATGCAGGACCGACAGCGCACATTGTGCTTTGAAGTTGCAGCCAATAGAGGTGTAGTTTATGTCTATGAGCAGTGAACACCCGTGTGCATACCTGTGTGGATCAGCGCGCTTGTATTCAGAAGGTTTCCACATGTAATGGTCTGCAAGAGGATGTAGAGAGCCATAGCCCCGTCCCCCAGGGCATGAAGCAGGCATGGAGGAGATCCAGGCCCCAGACATCCAGAGGCTCCAGAGTGCGAGAGCCCAAGGAGGACCGCTGGAGGGGCATCCGTGCCACCCTCCTGGGAAGAGCTGAGGATCCCCAGACGAGGGGTTACCCAGTAGCCACGGAGCAGAAGCTAGAGGGGGCTGCAGTGGCGTGCCCGCCGGCTCTGCCGGCAGCCAGCTGTGCCAGAGTGAAACGAGTCGCAGGCCCAGAGGCCGGAGGCCCGAGGGCCCCCCGCACCCCGGAGGAGGCCTGACCAAGCAAAAGGCGCCAGGCCCCGCCAGGTAGCCACCGGGAGTGAGCTGGTACATACCTGAGCGCCCAGCCCCGGACACCAAGAACCACCAACGCACCGACCCCTGAGGGCATCAGTCACCGGCAGGGAGTGTGGTGAGGGGAGATAGGCCTTGGAGGGCCTGGGAGTTCCCAGAGAGGTGGAGTCTAAGACCCGACCTGACATATAAACACAGACAAACAGGCACACACAGACACAAACATGCATTCCCACCCTCATGCACACATATACAAACACTCAGCACTCACCCAATGTAAGGATTGACATAAATGGACATGTACACACAATCACACTCCCCAAACAAACTCTATACCTCAGGTCCAGGCACCCTCGCCCCCAGAGGGGGAAACGGCACCTAGACCCAAGAGATGTTACCCTTTCCCCCGGGGTGGAGGCAATGCCTCCCCTGCACCGTGGTGACACACCTGCACCCCAAGGGCCTACCTGTGTGGGCGGGTGTGGTGGAGCAGGAAGAGGGAGGCAAAGAGGAAAGAGGGGAGGAAAAGAAGGGAGGGGCATCTTGCCAGGGGCCAGCTCCCCTGCTGACCCCAGTAGGCTCCCTTGCCTTGGTGGGTAGCCCAGGCCCATCCAGACCGGGACCTACGGCAGCAGCACTGCCAAGCCCCACAGGACCCGGGGCAGCCCACCCGACCCCACCGCAGAGGAAACTGTACCCACCCCAACTGAAGCACCGCAGCAATTTCCTAATGTTGTAAACCTCAACATCTGGCAATAAACCCATTCTGATTCTGATTCTGAACATTCAATCGTCTCCCAGACTACACAAGACAACAGACACCCAGGTTAAGTTTATTCTCCACCTCTCCTATGTCTCTCCCCCACCTGCAGAGTGGACTCCTGCAAGGATGGAACAAACTCCCTGCCAGTTGAAGAGCCCCCCAGTTAGGCTGATACACCAGAGGCCCCCTCCAATTTTCAAAACACAACTTTTTTTTTTTTTTTTAATGAAGCTCTGACTTGTATTATGAGTATGGGTCCGTGGTCTGGGAGAGAGTCCTGTAACTCTCTGTCTGCAAAATACAGCATATAATGACCAATGGTGGGCAATTATTTATAGTTACTTCTTCAAAAAAGTTACTGAGTTTTGCAAACAACAAAGTTTTTTTCAGCTGTTTACCTAAAAATGCAGCTAAGGCAGTTTTAAATAAACATTTCAAACTATTTACAGAACAATCAGCTGTTCTGCATCAAATCTGATGCCACACAAATTATTTGTGCCGCTCCAAAAAATAATTTCTGTCCACTGTGAGATGAAGGAGAACAACAGCCTGATACCTGCAGGCCTGACAGCAGCAGATGTGTCACTGCTGTAACACCTGTAACATTCAGCAGGCGCCTCATTGTTCTGACACACAACAACACTACTGACTACACTACACACTAACTACACACTAACTACACAAGATTTGCGCTAAACGTCGCAAATATCTCACATCTCAAAACACCGCCGTCACTCCTAAAACTTCCTCCCGCCTCT